TAGTAGCGAATGCACACAGGAGGTGCTCTCAGTGGCTGCAGCAGCTGAGGTACATCCTGTCAGGACCCTAAGGGCAGGCCAGTACAGATGCCTGAATGCTGACAATAGGTGCTGCCCACAGTGGGCTGGGCCAGCCTATATTAATTTAACAATCTACAATCCACCACAGACATGCTCGTAGACCAATCCAATAAAGACAGTTACTCAGTTCAGACTCTCTCCCTGGCGGTTCTAACTTGTGGCAAGTTGACATTCAAAACTAACCATCACAATCACCAAGCTCATACAGATATCATGAAGTTAAAATGAGGTCTGTATAGCACTTGGCACACGATAGTCAACAGAAGTATCGCTTTGTACCAGTGAAGAAGAGGAAGGGGAGCAAAACAGGATGAGGCACTAAGACGCTCGGATACAGGTCTCTCTCTTCAGGGTTTAAGGTTTACCAGCCTTACAGCTGTTGATTTTGCAGGTCAGTACCATTGAGTTTGTTACAGTAGTGTGCAACCCTTACCACGACCCCATCTGCAGACATCTTATCCACCTCTGTACACACTACAACACAATACCCACCTGCCTGCTCTCAGCCACCATTCTGCTTTCTGTTTCTGTGTATTTTTGACAACTTTTGGTACCTCGTATAATAAATTCCTATAGTATGTCTTTTTGTTGTTTTTGTTTGTTTTGTTTGCTTTTTTTGTTTGTTTGTTTTATTTTGTTTGGTTTTTTGAGGAAGGGTTCCTCTGTAGCCCTGGCTGTCCTGAAACTCACTCTATAGACCAACCTGGCCTTGGACTCTGAGATCTGTCTGCCTCTGCCTCCTGAGTGCTGAGATTAAAGGCGTGTACTACCACACCCATCTTATAGTATATTTTTTTGTGTGTGTCTGATTTAGTTGCTTAGCACAGTGCCCTCAGGGTTTATCCATGTTGCATGGATATATGCACGCATCCTCCCTTTTTTTTTTTTTTTTTGGTTTTTCGAGACAGGGTTTCTCTGTGTAGCTTTGCGCCTTTCCTGGAGCTCACTTGGTAGCCCAGGCTGGCCTCGAACTCACAGAGATCCGCCTGGCTCTGCCTCCCGAGTGCTGGGATTAAAGGCGTGCGCCACCACCGCCCGGCCGCATCCTCCCTTTTAAGGCAGAATAATAGTCTTATTTTATGGAGACCGAATTTTGTTTGTCTATTCATCCGAGAGTGGACACTTGGGTCACATCTATGTTTTGCTCATTATGACTTTTGCTGTTATGAGCATAGATGTATAAATGTTTCTTTGAGTCTTGCCTTTAGGTTTTTGGGGGTGTATACCCAGAAATTGAGTTGTTGAGTCATATGGTAGTTCTGTTTTTGCATTATGAGGAACTTCCATACAGTTAACACATTCATTTGATAGGGAAGTATAAGCAATGAAGTTCCCCCAAGGAATAATAGGAAAACCAGTCTTGCTTCACATTTTATAAATTGCCTAAATATGAAACTTTTCTTATTAAATTTTACTTTCATGTAGATATACATTAATGTATAGTATGGGCAATGTATATTGTATGGAATGTAGAAAAGAGGGGCGAGAGCAGACAAGTGGTTAATAAGATTTAATAAATGGGTACGCGGAAGGGGTTACTCCATTATGTATTCCTTCCCCGAGGACAGAGGACGAAATCCCAGTTCTGTGTGTTAGCGCCTTCTTTCTGGAGGACGCAGGAACTTCCAGTGTCAAATGCATGGAAGCATGCAGACACATCTTTTTCCCCACTGCTTGGTACCAAAGAGTAAGTTGACGCTTGACTTGAGACTGGAGGCCAGTGCTCTCAACTCTGACTGTCCCATGGGAGATATAGGCAGTGTCTGAGGACACCTTGGGTCATCCTAGCTGGAGGGGAACTACTGCAGCTAGTGCTCAGAGACCAGAAACGTGCAGTGGTAACCAGGAAAGCTCACCGAAGCATCATCTCAGGGACTGGAGAGAGGCTCGGTGGGTAACGGCACTTACTGTGCCAGCAGAGGACGTGAGTTCAGGTCCCGGCGCCTGCACGGTCAGGCATGGTCACATGACCAGCAGCCTCCGCACTAGAGAGTGGAGGTGAGAGGATCGCTCCAGTTTGCTGGCTGCCAGCCTACCTCCAGGTCCAATAAGAGAACCCGTCTTGAGGGAGTAAGGCAGAGAATAAACAATAGAGCAGGACACTTGGTGCCCTCTTCTAGCCTCTGACTGTGCACACACAGGCAATCGCAACACACACACAGGCAATCACAGCACACACACAGGCAATCGCAACACACACACACATACATACCATCTCAAGGCTCGGACACCTTGCTTCAAACCCAAGCTGCCCTTTCAGCCTTGTCTTTAGTCTCTCTCTTATAGAAAGCTGCTGTCCCAGCCAGGCCCAAGGACTCATAAACCCACCCGTCCTATAGCTGAATTGCTTTTTCCGGGCCTTTTCTGGCCTCCTGTGGGCTGGTCCAGTAGTTCTATGCTTTCTTGACAACAGAAGGTAGTACTTCCTACCATCCTGGATTGTAAGAAAGTAATTACAAGTATTGTTGAAATGATTTGGTTTGGAATTTGAAGTGCCAGGTTAGACTGGTGGCACAGGCCTATAATCCTAGCCAGTTGAGAAATGAGACAGGAGGATTGTGAGTATAGGGCTGCCCTGAGCAATTTAACAAGACTATTTCTCAAGAAGAGAAGCCCTAGGACGTTGGTCAGTTGTGCTTGTCTAGCATGCACATAGCCCTGGGTTGAATTCCCATGGCTGTAAAGCAGTTATGGTGGCATGTGCCTGTAATCCTACTGCTTGGGTGATAGAGGCACCAAGATCAGAAGTTCAAGGTCAATCTGAGATACATGAGTCAAAAATTAATTTTGAAGTTGAAAGGGGGACTGGGAAAAATGCTTGCACAAGGCCCTAGGTTCAAGCCTCAGTACTGCAAAGGAGTGTGAGATGCCACCCTCGAGACCCCAGCGAGCTCCTCTGCCTTTACCCGCCAGGACCTCTATGGCAGCTTCCCTGTCGTCCTGTGCAGTGGTTGAGTCGTGTCTGCCCCATTCCAGCCGTGCTCCAAGGTTCAGCTTTGCTTAGAGAACTGCTGGACGGATGGAACCTGAGCCCAGTGTGAGCTTCACGCTAAGGGAAGGGTCTGTGTGGTTCACATAGCTGGACCTACTTAACGCCGGCCAGTGTGACGACGGTCAAATGGGTGGTAGAAAACCTCTTTTCTTGTATAGAACCCACGTGTACCAGGCGCCAGCCAAGGCATGTTATGTTCAGTTTTCTTTCCATCTAGTTATTTCGGTCACTTACTCCTGTAGTTTCTGGAGGGAACCTGAAGCTTTGAGGAGATCATTTGACAAGGACCACTTAGCTAACAGCAGAGGGCTGGAATTTAAACACCACCTGTCTGAGTTGGAAGCCTCAGCCACACCTCATTGTCTTGAGGATCCCAAACCCCTCTGCCATTGCTAATAGAAGACCACGAGGCCAAGACCAGACGGCAGAGACCCCTTGTGGCTCACTAGTGAGGTGGCTGAGTTGTCAATCTGCTGCTGTAAGGACCAGCCTTCATCAGCTCAGAGATTGAGGGGATCCTGGAGTCAGAGGACTAATCACTCACTTGACTTTTCTATCTGAGGGAGTAAAACTCAACTCTCTGGGGCCAGCAAAAAAGGGAAACACACACACACACACACACACACACACACACACACACACACACACACACCCTCTCCAACATGTCAGGATCTCACCCAGGCAAGCCTTCAGCAGGTCGGAGAAACTGAAGAAGAGATGCAGAGTAGGCAAACTACTGGACAGACAGACAGACACACAAGGACTTTTCTGAGGGCCAAGACTTAGTTCTTCATTTTATTATTCTTCCTGTTGCTTGTTCTACTCTGTTTCTTTTCTTTTCTGTTCTGTTCTTCTACTCTGACATTTTCCTTCTGGTTGTCTTTATTTTTTCCCTTACAGTTTATATACTCTAGCAGCATCTTTCAGCAATATAAAAATTACAATATGGTTACATTCTATTTTTTAAGTGAGTGACAACAGTGAATACGAGTAAAAAGCAACATGTTTCCCATTTCCCTTACATGAGTAAACATTTTACGTATTACAGGTAAAAACCAAATTATTCCCAAGAACCCACACTCAGTTAAACATTCATCTTTAGACTTCTCATAGAGCAAGAGCCTTTCAGCCATAATCATTTACATAGGCAGTAGCTTTTATAGTTGCCACAAAAATGGGTTATTCGTTTTACTTTTTATATTTTAGAATCCTGTCCAGTTACTTAACTAACCATCCAATTCTTTGTTTTCTAGTTACACAAAGTCAATTGTTTAAAGCTTTGTGTTAGCTACTGTGCACACTGAAACCCATGAATACCTTTTCCATCATCAGAAAGAACTTGAGCTAACTCCTGGGACTCTATTGTTTTTCTTAGTCATTAACCTAAGCCACAGTCTATACAAATCCTCAAGTAAAACTCTGTTTTTTTAAAAATTTATTTATTTATTTATTTTATATATGTGTGTGCTCTGTTGACTTTATACCAGAAGAGGGCATCAGATCTCATTACAGATGGTTGTGAACCACCATGTGGGTGCTGGGAATTGAACTCATGACCTCTGGAAGAGTAGCCAGTGCCCTTAACAGCTGAGCCATCTCTCCAGCCCCTCGAATAAAACACTTAAAATCCTAGATGTGTGATACTGTCTTGTCCTTATTTTCTGTCCTCTGCAGCCCCTGCTTTATCAGGGGCGGGGGCAGCACTATATCCTGCCTTTACCTATATCAATTTTCCCACTACACTAACCTCCATCATAATCCCTTACTCATTTGTTAAAAACCTTCAATCATCTATTTAAACCAGCACTATTATTGTATAAAATCATTACTTCAGTTAAACCATACAGCTTAAGAGGAAATCATCTTCATAATAATCCACAGATGAAAATGCCCAGTAGAATGGGATATGTCCATGAGATAATCACACTACATTAAAGGCGGTGGGGATCACCCTACACACACACCCCCATTCACACATGCCAGACACCAGAGAAAATGGGGGCAGCAGCAAACATGTAAAGGCACAGCAGCAGCAGCAACAGGTATCCTGGAGCCGAAGCCCTCAGGGCCTTGCCTGTCCGAGATCTGCCCACCTGTGCCTTCCGGTCTAGTGAGCCCGACTCCTGAAGCTCAATTGCCGCCTGCTGCCTCCCTGACATGGTCACCGGCTGGGATCAGAATGTGGCCTGTCGGGCCCTTCTTCTGCTGCCACCGAAGGAAACCGCTGTGCTGTGCTGAGTCATCTTGTTGCCTCTCTTCTAGGTCCACTACATCCTTCAGGAGGTGGTGATGGGCGGGATGGTGTTGGAAACAAACATGAATGAAATTGTGGCTCAAATTGAAGCTCAGAACAGGCTGGAGAAGTCGGAGGTAAGGAAGTGGCTATATTCATGCCCTGGCTGGGTGGAGAGCGTTGGGCAGAGGGAGGAGCGTGTGCTTGTGTAGCATGTGTGGCTTGTGTGTGCTGTGTGTGGGGGTTGTGTGTGCTGTGTGTGTGTCTTGTGTGTGCTGTGTGTGTGTCTTGTGTGTGCTGTGTGTGTGTCTTGTGTGTGCTGTGTGTGGGGGCTGTGTGTGCTGTGTGTGTGGGTTTGTGTGGGCTGTGTGGGCTCATGAGGCTTGTGTGTGCTTGTATGGCCTGTGTGGCTTGTGTTTCTCTGGGTCCTTAGGAGGTGGTTCCCACTCTGTCTTTCTTGATTTGTCTGCACTAACTTGCAGGCCAGTGTAAACATTACACAGATAGGGTAACTTGAGATGTCAGCCTTAAAGGAGAGGCAGATGGCAGAAAGAGAGCCGGCTTCTGCAGTAGGGTGGTTACAGCCCACATTTGCGGTGCTGTGTGCATCTGTTCTCCAGAGCCGTGTCCGCTGGTATCTTTTAGCCTTGAGAAATTCAAGATTCTGTGTTTTCAGTGAGGCTTCTACAAAACTACAATAACGCTGATTTGAAAATACCATACCCAGCTGGGAGGTGGTGGCGCACACCTTTAGTCCCATCACTGAGGAAGCCGAGGCAGGCGGATCTCTGAGTTCAAGGCCAGCCTGGTCTGTACAGCCAGGACTACACAGAGAAATCCTGTCCCAGAAAATGACAATGAAAATACCATACCCATCCCATCCTCATGTGGCACCAGGCTTGATGGAGGAGCTCCTGGTAGAGCCGGGCCTGTCCCACTGTGGTCCCGGCCCTCCTCAGGCCTCACAGCTGCAGAGATAGTGTAACAGTGCGGTCTCTGTCTGAGTGTCCTCAGGGTTTCTTTGTTGTGTAGTGGAACCTGCCTTAGAAAACCGGTTCTTCCTGTGAGGACTGCCGTCCTGTTGGAGAAGCTTTTCCAGCCACAGCTCTGGCTGGTGAGCTTGCTGAGGAGTGCAGGCTGGGAAATGAGTGCTTCCAGGCTCAGCGAGTGAGTCAGGCGAGGGGTCTGGAGACCAGAGGCAGCAGGGGGAGGGGAGGGGAGGGAGTGGCCTGAGAGCTTCGGGCTAGGGAAGGAGGAATTTCTGCAGTCTTCCTCACTTCTCCCTCTCCTCCAGGGTGAGCCTGGGGTGGGTTAGCCCCCTGTGTCCGCTGCAGCTTCCCAGGGCTGTTAGCGCTCTCCCGCCTGTTGCCACATCCTTTTCCAGCTCATACCAGTGGGCAAGCAGTTTTCCTGAATCTGACACTTTTTCCCTTTAAAGAATCTCTCCAACGTTGCACTTTTCTGTAAGGTGGACTCTTGAGGAAAGGTGTCCTTTGGTTTTGCTTTGTAAATTGAGTATCCTCAATACTTAGGATAAACCATGTCAGAGTCCCTTAGCAAGCGTTAATTGAGCCTCTACCATGGGCCACGAGCACTGTTAAATGCTGCAGCTATAACTGCATCTCCACGCCAAGCTCCAGCTTTCTGAGTGGGCTTTTGCTGACTGCCCTTGAGGAAGAGTGAAGTGGAAATGTCCGTGTGCGCTGTTTGGAGCTCTCTGGTTCTGCGTCATCTGGTTTAAGGTTTCAGCAGATAACACTGGGAAAGCAGCTGACGCTCACCCCCTTTCTCCCAGGGCGGCCTGTCAGCAGCCCCCGCTAGGGCCGTGTCTGCTGTGAAGAACATCAACCTTCCTGAGATCCCGAGGAACATCAACATCGGCGATCTCAACATCAAAGTTCCCAACCTGTCCCAGTTCGTGTGAAGGTGGAGGACTGGGCTGAACCGGGGTCCTTAGGATGAGCAAAGCAGTCAAGTCCAGAACCGGAGCCCTGCCGAGCCTTCCGAGTCGCACCTCGGACACTGAGCCTTTCACAGAGTGGGAAGGGAGTCGGAGGCACGCTGCTCGGCCATCCTGCTGCTCTCGGATTTGCGTGGCCGTGGTAGACACCAGCGCACTAAGCCACTGCTCCTTTGCCTCCCACACACAGCTGCCCTCAGGTTGGGGACTGTGGAATAGGCCGCTTGCTTCCCAGGGCCCCACCACTGGGACTGAACACATCTGACTTCCTCCCTAGCACCTAGGGCTTCCGCGATTCTGTATCCCTTACTGGGCAAGAGACCAGGAAGAGGCCAGCCTTTCAGATGTCAGCTGTGGCTGGGGAAGGCAGGGGTATGCTGGCTCTGCGGGGGCCTCTCCTCCTAGAATCCCTTTGTAGAACCCACCCTTTGGGGCGGCATTGCAGCAGAGCATCCCCCCCCCCCCCGCCCTCCTCCATATCCCCAGTGTGCTGGACACAATTGAAACCACACTGTGGGTGTATGTCACCACCCCTGCCATAGGGAGGGCACCCCTACACACACACACACACACACACACACACACACACACACACACACACACACACACACACACCCTAAAGCCCTCTTCTGGATGAGAGACCGCTGTCTGTAGAATATGAAAGCTGGATCCTCCCAGAGTTATGATTCATCTCGAGTTTAAAATACACTGTCCTGGAAACAGAAGGTTCAGTGGCTGTGTTCTGAATGATGAACCATTTCCCCTTGCTCAGAAACCCACTGACCAGTCTCAGATTCTAGAGCTGTGTGGGCGGAGCCTGCAGCACGCTGGCCTTAGTGCCGGGTGTTCTCCAGTCTGCATCTGCAGTGAGCACACTGGCTCCTTTGGGCAACATTCTCCAATACTTTGGAAACATGTAAATGTTAACACGTGCTGAGTCGTCTTCTTGTGGCTAATTTGGAGCTGATGCTGCCGCTGGGTGCAGGCCTCTTCTCCGTGCTGTCAGCTGGGTCTCAGGCATGGTGGTGAGGAACTGATACACCTTCATGGGGAACTCTCCCAGCCCAGGCCCCTCCCCTCCTGCTGGCCAGGCCCCTAGTCCATATCCCACAGCCTTGTGATGTTGCTGATGGTCCTGGGAACCCTGTGTCAGGACCCAGCATTGATGGTCCTGGG